CCGTGCAAGGAACTCATGTGGTGTACACATCAGTTTTTTTTAATGGCCAGGCAAAGAATTAGTTTTCTTTCTTTTTTTTTTTTTATTTTTTTTTTTTAATTTTATTTTTTATATCTGGGAGCCTATTTATTATTTACACATCATTTGCTTCAATGGATAATCTTAAAATAGTGCATATATTACTGTGAACTTCCCAACTGCAATTTCTTGACTGCTTTGTGGATAACTACGACATAGTGGGCAAATTGCTATGGGCACACATAATAAGGTGTGTAAACTGCTAAGGACACGAAGTTATGATGTATCGAAGTGAACAAGGGTTTACATGAACAATGAACTTAACAAAAGTGCACTTCGAATTTATCAAAAGTTAACTTTGAATCTAGTTTATATGAGCATAGAATAGTCTACACAACATCATAAACTTTGGGCTATGAAACTATTAAATGCCTGAACTGATGAGACTGGCCTACTTCGTGGATAATTGCAACAATAGTGTGCAAATTGCTAATGACACACATCATTAGGTGTGTAACTGATAAGAACACGAAGTTATGACGTATTAAGATAGACATAGGTTTGCAGACTGGTTAATATATATGTTCCACTCTCAACCGCATAGATTCAATCCATGACAATGCAATGATTAATTGATTGTATATTTTTTTCATACGGATTATTATGTAACAATTATTGCAAAGATGACATTACCAATTTAGCACTGTAATATTACTATCATTGAATCAATGAGTGCCGCCGGCGATGTATGTTATATTCTCTTTCCGACGCATAGACATAATTCTGATTTGGTGTAGAACCTTCGGTCGGAGATTCATGCGACGGCGTTTCGGTCACTAACAAATATATCTGCTGGGCGGCGCCTAAACGTACATTTCTCTTCAGAAAATGAAAATTGGGTTAGGGTAGCAAAAGTGGTAAACGGATTAAAAGTTATATGCTGACTAGTTGTTGTTTATTACTGGTTGCTATTAGCATGCTTTTCCCGTAAGATTAGCAACTTGCATAGCCAGCTTTCGGTCTGGCATGCATTTGCACTCGCGAATTACACTTTTCAGACCGAAGGCTGGGCTAGCAAGAGGCTAAATTGTTATGATAATACACACTGCTGGCAATTAAAATTGATACGCTAGGAAGGATAGCAAAATCTTATTTATTTTATATATATAGTGTAATGGAAAATAATTAAATTTACTGGTGATTTAACGTACACAACGTGCAGAATCCAGTACACAGAGATGCCACCTCTGGCAGGAACAATGGCTGCAATTCGGCTGATCATCGAGTCGAAGTGAGCGTGAGTGACACATATGGGTACTTCATTAAACGCGACTTCAACTCTATGCCAGAGTTCATCAATCATTGTGGCTGGCGAATGGTGGCGAGTAGCTTTCTTGGCAACCCCTAAACAGATATTCTTAATGGGTGAGAAATCTGGAGAATGTGCTGGCCAGAGCAACAGTCGAAAACCCTCTGTATCGAGGAAGATCATGACAGCACGGGCAACATATGGACGTGCATTAGCTTGCTAAAAGGTATCTCCTGGACCATAGATTCCATATTGATAATCATGTGACAATATGATAATCATGTGATCCCGACCAACACGAGTAACAATGTCGAGGAATGACAAACCGAAGTCCCAACAGGAACGATCTTGCTGTGATACGTACGAGTAGGAGTTTCTCTTTTCTTACACGAGATATAGCACGATCTTTCAGCAAACATACAACGTTCAAATGCGATTTCCAAATGAGAAGCATACTCTGATACTTTCGTCTTTGTTGGCATTAGCTAGAACCATTTCTTGTTTGGCACCTCAAATAATCGCGGAGTGGAGTTACCACTCGTATCAAACCTCTGGGAACTTTGCAGTTGGAAAGACCTATGAATAACTTAATCAAATAGAGATCCTAGTCACAGAAACATAAAGAGTGCAGAGATTAGCCACACATGACTAGAAAAGACAAATCGGGAGTAATGCACAATCAAGGGGTGTAGAATGGCGAATCAGAAGTTAAATATCCGGATATGTAAGTAAGAATTGCAGACTTGGGAGGAGTGCTACGCTACGATGTGTACATTGCTGGGGATGGTTAACTGTTCAGAATGGGATTTCTGAGGACGTGGGCAACGTAAGGCTTTAGGTTAATGCCCATTTCTATGAATTTGTATTTAAAGTTGTCTGCATAATGGACATCCTCGTTCTGTATAGCTCTGGTGGGAAAATTGCTGTTGAGTTAGTTTATGAAAGTGATGATATCGTCCACTTTTAAGTTTCTGCGTAATTGTTCATTTTTGATAGCAGGGATCTCCTGTGATACGGCGTAGGAAAGTGTTCTGGCAAACTTGTAGTTTATTGAGTAGAAGATGCCCATTTAGAAGCAGCACACCAAGCAAGCGAGGCATATGTAAGAATGAGTCTCAAGATACATAGTTCCTCTTTTTCCGCGCGAGGTACAAAGAGAAAAACGGCTCAAGTGAGCATATTAACTTTCTAGACACTCCAATTGCTTTGCCAATGGCAGCCGAAATATGTGTGCTTCAGGTGAGAGTGATTGAAATGTAATCCGAGAGAGGTGACTTTGTTAATTTTGGAGATCAGTCTTCCCATTTATACACAATATATGGCGTTACTCCTACCTGCTTTGTGCACTTACACTGAAATGCTAATTAATTAGCATATCTCAGCAAGGTAGCATCTCTCATTCATAATGCAGCAAATTTTTTAATGTCCAGCAGTGTATATTTCCATTAAAAACATTATACATTTCTATAAAGATTAAAGTTAACTTCGACTTCGTTTAAACAATTACAACTAGAAAAAGTGCTTATCATTAAAAAATGTAAAATAATAACAAAAACCTGAACAAAAAATTGCAAATGCTCAAAAAACTCATTAACTGAATTTTTATTATATATCAGACGAATTTTTGACTTAATCAAGCAGATACATTCTTAGAAAAGTGGACAAAAAATAAGAAGTAGGTTTGTGTTTTTACATTACTTAGCTTGCGCGCATTCGTGTGCAAGATTTAAAATTTAGCGACCGCCGTCTTTTTTACCATACGACGAATGAACATACAGACTCTTCTTTCTTTCTTTATTTTTCATAATATAATAAGATAATAGTTTTTTTTTTGTTTGTTTGTTTTTGTTTTTGTTTATTTGATTATGGCAAAGCATACGAAGCTATGAAAAGCGAGTTCCAAGGTGCTTGTCCACCAATGGCCAAGGGGTAAAGCCGATGAACACTGTCCAAGAGTTGGCTGATTGGGTGTTTTCGCAGTTTTTACTCATATGTAACGTGGATACAGACTAGTGTCCTTCAGAAAGTCTTCTACAAACGCATTCCTTCTCTAGAGCTGATAATCCTAGCGACTTTTGCCGTAATCAAAAAAGAAATATACTGAAAGTACAGGTACCTCGCTAGCAGCTAATTCTTTGGCCTTGAAATTTAGAAGTGAGTAGTTTAACGATTGGTGTTTCCAATTCTGGGGATAAATGAGATTTGACTTTCGGGTTAGCCTCATTCAGAAACCGGCTGATATAATTTTTGGATTATTTGTAAGGAAAATTTAATTTAGCTTGATGTCTTTTCAGAAAAATGTTGAGTCTCTATCTCCAGATTTTAAGGTATTTTGATTTTAAGGTATTATTATTAGTTGACAGTAAAATCAGGTGCATTCATTCAATCTGCAAAGCTAATAAATTTTTACAGCTACGTTTACTTTTAATGTGTATTTTGTACTTTTTTTTTAAATTACCATGTTCATCTTAACAGTTGCAGCACATCACTGCAGACCAACTGTAGTAGGATTTAGAAATAAAATTTGAAATTTATCTTTTAATAAAGCACAATACCCTTAAACATATTCGACACAAAAAAAACATTTAAATTCCTATAAATATTAATAATTCAGAAGTACTGTTTACACAGAACACATTTGCTGGTGTGAAAATAAGTAATTGACAAAAAGAATGAAATAACTTTTCCAATTTTGTGCCAAAATACCTATATTAGAACAATGCTATAAATCTAAAATGTATCCTAAGTTGCGCTTTTGAAACATGAAAAACGCAATAAATTTGTGTAGGTCTGTGTAGTACAGTTAGTTTTCAGTAGCTTCTAGTTCTCGTAAAATATCCACGTGAATATCTGTGTAAAACAATGGGAGATGTCATCTGTATCTGTAAGCGCCTGGAGCGCAGTCTATGAATAAACATGTGTAACCATGACCACATTTTTCAAACTTACCTCAACTGGAAATGTCATTTAAAATGTGAAAGTGCATAAGGCACCTACTGTAACGACATCACTCTATCACTATCGTCTTCTAAATTAACGCTTTCCAGTCAGTTAGTGCACATGGGCAGTACCCACATCAGCAATGGTAAACATTAGGTATCCTCTGCACTTCAACCTAAACCTGAAATGACGTCATTTTGATCTCCGTAGTTTTTGCTAGAGATCTAATATTGAATAAAATAGATAAATCAACTGTGCTCTGCATTGGAAATGGCGAGTATTCCTGAAGCTCTGATGGACAATATCATCGTAGTGGTAAGAGTTACAAATCAGATTGATTTCGGAGCTTCGATCAGATTGAATAAAATTCATTCCTCAAGTTGCAACTAGTTTGATTGCCTGCCAAGTCTTTAATGGATTCGAATCATTTCTGAGTCTTTAATGGATTCGAATAATTGCTGAGGCTTTGATGGAAAGTATAATCTTGTATGTACGAATTCAAAACCGTATTAATTCGTCAGACTTCAATTTTATTAAAAAAGATTAATTGCTGCTGCTACAATGAACAATCTCTTTGCAAAGAAAAAAGAATCAATACTGCTGATGACCAGGCGAAAAATTCTCGAATTTAATAAATTTTAAAAAAAGTATTTAAACAATCTTTGCAAAATTAAATACACTTTTGCACCTTTCCAAGTATAAGGATTGTAAAGGAAGAAAGCAGAAATCTTACCTAGATAAGCTGTTGATACCGAATATGGAAATTCTTTCCTATTTTTCATATCATTTTGGATGGTAGGAAGATAAGCTCCGGCTCCGTAAGAGAATAGCATGATTCCAAAAGACAGGTAAACATCTGACTTTGTAACACCTACAGTCTCCTTATAATGAACTCCAGCAATAATTTCTTTATCGTAGAAAAGGGCAATCGTAAACAAGATAACAAAGGCCGCAGAGCAAATGACATCAATTACTGCCAGGAAACTAAACAAATAAAAGTAAAATTATAATTAATAATTTAGTTTCTTACAATTATTAACACTTTGCAGACGACTGATGCGTGTTTTCCGTCCAGTGCCATTCATATGCGGCGAAAAATGTCTGCCTTAAGCAGAGGAAGAATGTTTACAGTTTCAACTGGAAGAATGTTTGTTTTTTAAATAAAATTTAGTTTTTCTTGTCCACCGCAACGGATGTAATGTAATTTCCTATTTCTTGAACTTCAGAAAATGAAGCAATTTCGAATGAGAAGTAAAAGCAGGTATTTCTAATCCAAAGATAAAAAATATGTTTTCCCTTTGCGCCTCCTTTAAAATGCTATAGTTGATTCCCCATCTCGGACAAAACTTTGTAAGTAGGCTGATTTGAAAAATTTGAATCTAAGTCTTTTATTGTTTTTTTTTTTTTTTTTTTTTTTTTTTTTTTATTTTTCCCACCGACTGATATTCAGCAACATATTCTACACTGCTTTATAAACAATGAGTTCAAAATATAGGAAACAAACCATTTTGTGATTCCTCAGGGGCCCACATTAAAGTGGTGAATGACCGGCGACATTTGGTCCTTCGGGGGACCTGAGCAGCTAATGAGACTAAAATCCCACCGCGACTGCGACTTGTTACTTCGGAGTTAATACTTCGAGAGTGCCAGTTATGTTAGAAATAAATCTAACGTCTTCGCAAAGTACTGAAACCATCTTTTATAGAAGGCCATGCCAAGCAAGACAGGGGCCTTATTGGTAGTATCAAGTTTGACCCAGGCTGTGTATTTTTAGATTCATCTGCGGAATGGTTTATCTCCCTCTTTGGCTCCTCATTGTGTCGGAGGCCCTTTCTCTACGCCCTGTCCCGTCTTTAGCACTGTAGGTAATGTGTTCTTAAATTTCCCATCTGAAAAGAACTTCTGCTCGAGTAATTGCCTTTTCAATGTTATCAGAAATGACATGTTATTAAATCTAAGTTATATGTGGGGTATCCTATTGTCATGAAGCTTATTTCAGGCAGTCCTGCCATTGTCGCAAAAGCAATATACAGCTGAGCATTGTCTCGGAGCTAAAGCGTTGTTTCTTGAGCAAACTCGCTCGTACCTTCCTCGTGGCGCCACGCAAATGGTTTTCAAGACATTTGCGTAATTGTTCATTGTCTTCCCATGGTAGTGTGCCCCATAGTACAACCCATGTAGTGTTGACACCCTTTACTGTAATGAATAGCCTACCAAAGTAGGCTTTTTCTATCATAAGTTATCATTTCTGAAGTGCATTGATATGTTACTACCATATGTTGTATATTGATACGTTACCACCATATCAATGCACTTCAGAGATGGTAACATATGGATGAAAATTGGATAGTAATCAGAGATGCATCATTAAAATACTGCAGTATCGCTAAAGGTTTCACTTTCATATATATGCCGTAATTTCAAATGCTTGATTAGCGCTTTTCTGCTGTTTGATAAATTTCAGTTACACCTCTATCTTTTTTCACAGACATGTCTTCATCATCTGTAGCACCAAAATGTACTAAATACTTCTACTTAACTGTGATCAAAGGCCATGTGTCATCAGCTACAAGTTCAAACAAGCATGTGGCATATAGTAACAAAATCGAGTATAGAGGTGCCAGGTTTGATACCAGGAAACAGGAACAGATGGACAGCCTTAAAAATTTTCAGTCCGCCTTTCGCTTTCCTAAGTTTCTTTTTAAAGTTTTATATTCTGCTTGCTTCGTTATTTTTTGAAGAACATTATGTGATTGTGAACTACGGAAATACGGAACTACGTTTTTTAAAAATATGTTAAATCCTTATTTAGATTAATTTCATGTATAATTTTGCCAGTAATATAGCATAAAAGTATTATTTATGTTACATTATTTTAACAGCTGAATCGTAGGAATCCCAGCATTTTGTGAAGCCATTGTATTAAGTAACTGGCACAGAATAACGTGTATTTTTAAAAATTTTTATAATGTTTTACATTTAAAAATTGTTTTAACGATTTAATGGTAAAAGCTTCTTCAAGGTCCTAAACTCCATATCCATTAGTGCGGTCCGTATGCGTTGCGTATGCACTTATCCAATCAGCGAGCGAATTGACTTTGACTTACATCTGTGATGAGGCAAATGCAAACAGACATGGGTAGATAATTATAAACAAGCGTAATAAGGAACGCTTAGCCATCTTCTGTTTCTCATTACACCTAATTAAACGCTATACGGTATTTGACACAAATGATAGTAAAATCATCTGGTATGAAAATATTACCGTAATTTCCGGAAGAAACGCCGCGGCGTTTACGTGTTTAAAACTTAAATTTTCAGCGGGTGCGGCTTTCTACCCATGCGGCGTTTAGGTGCACTAAAAATAAAATATTTCCTATGATGGTCATTGTACATAGTTTGGATGGCCTTGTGCATAGACTGGTGCTGTTCCCACACAAAAGACCACTCAGTTGCTTTTTGCGAACGTTATTTTGTTTACATTCTTTCCCTTGAATGGACCTACATGCCTTATTCACCCTAAACGAGATCTCAGAACAATAACATTCTTTTCCCTTTCAAATCAACATTCTCATCAGTTTGAATAGTCTCTCTCTCCTCTGCCATTCAATGAATCTTCCAGGACCCATCCTCTCCCCACCCCTGCCTTTTCTGCAATTTTTTTAAAGGCGGACACGACTCCACCTGCCTCGAAATAACGAACTCTGACGCATTTCCCCTTCAGCACGAATGGATTTATCTTGGCATTCTGCCAAATACAGATCCCATCAGTTTGAGTACAAGTACTTGTTGGATAGTTTTTAATTAGGGAGCGGAAAATTTTTGAAAATGTCTCTAAACGGCACAGAAGCTATACATTTCTTACTTTTAATTTATTTTTGAGTTATGGTTTCATTTCATTTTTTTCTTAACTGGTAGTCATATTCAGGACTTAGGTTGAGTTTTTGCATCTATACGGCCCACAACGATGTCACGCGCAATTTAATCTATTGCGGCGTTTACGCTGATGCGGCGTTTCTGTGTAATTTTAATTTTTTTCCCGCCATTTTTCTAGAATGCGGCGTTTACGCTGATGCGGCCTTTCTTCCGGAAATTACGGTACATTATGAACTCATAACTGATTCCCATGCTATAAGTTTAAAACGATAATCTATGTTTTCCACTAATAAGGTAAAGATAACGCTTAAAGTATTATTGTGTTGTCAGTTTAATCGTTCATTTCTGCTGTCTTCAGTTGTAACACTTTTATCGGTCAACTATGTTTTTAGCAGATTCTGTCTACAGTCGGTAAAATTTTACAATAACCAAAACAGGGTTTGGTTTATGTGATTACGGCAAAGCGTCAAAGGCTACCTACTTAAAGGGAGGGATGCCTTCGTGCGGGAGAGAATGCGAGGAACGTTCTCCTTCCTCACCGCTTAAATTCGTGGTGCAATTGTAAACAAATCCGGCTTGCAGACTGAAAGCCCAGAGGCGAGGGCATTACTGATTTTTATGCTTCCTACTTTGAAATAAAGCTATTTATTCTACAAGCCTAATAAAAATAATAATTGAGAACTATAGCTTACCGAAAATTACGTGGTTTCCCAAACCAGGTAAAAGGCGTCAGCAGAATTACCAAAATAACTACAAAGTAACAAAATAATATGTATGCAGGCCATATTTCATCCATTAGAGCTGCCATCATGAGTACATAAACTATGCAACTTCCACACATAGAGATATCCATACACATCATAACAACATACCTAATATAATAGAAAAAAGGCTAAATTAATTTAACATATTATAGAAGCAGAGATGACGTCATAATTTTTAGTATCCATTTTTTCTGTTGACACTTGAACTGCAAGGGTATGAATACCGTAATTAGTATATAAGTTTCGTATTTTAATGAGTAAAGTTACAGCATTTGAAGAAAAGTTTGAATTGCTTTGCTCTAAATTTTCTGAACAATTCAGTTGTTAAAATTTTTCATTTTTGGTACCTGATACAACACCATATTGTGATGAAACACCATACTGATACGCATGACACCTACCACATTGTGTGACTTACGCAGTAATACCTAAGTGCCATCAGTTAATTTAAATCCTTACAAATGAATACGGTGTAGTACTAGAGGTAATTAAGTAAGTTCGTGCGGTTCTAGAGAATAATTACATTCAGCTCGTTTGTTTGGTCAAATTGATTGTGATGACGCCATAGGTTTACATTCCTTTCAAACCTTATTCGTTAGAAAGCTTTGAAGCATCGCAAATTTCGCTATCAATTTTGTAGGAAACTCAATCTTCGATAAAACATGTCTTTGAAAAAAAAATGTTTTTCAGGCCTACTTTGCTTTACGAGTATAAATTAGGAAACAAAACTTCAGAAGCCGTTAGAAGAATATACTTTAGAGAGACGTCAGTGAGTGAACGGACTGCTCAAAAGTAGTTCGGCCAGTTTTTTTCCAAGACCGAGAGCCTTGAAGATAAGCCTCGTGTTGCTCATCCATCCACCCTCGACAAAATCCAGCTGGAGGAGGAAATCAAACACAGTCCTCGTCAAACCTGCAAGAAGCTTACATACATACAAGTTTGGAGTATCTGACGAAATTATTCTATGATATTTTTATAAATTTGGAATGACATGGAATTCCTCATATCCTGTCCGAGGAAAACAAAGTCCAGTGGTTGAACATCTGCTTGTCGTTGCTGTCGCGCCATAATAAAGCCTCGTTCCTGAACCTAATCTCGACATGTGAGGAAAAATAAATCATGTATGACAACCGGAAGAAGACACATCGTTGATCGACTTCTGGCTCGGTCTCATTGGCCGCTAAATCGCTAGCCGGTTCTCCAAAAGAAGGTAATGCTGTGTGCTTGGTGGACCAACACTGGTGAAGTCCACTATGAATATCTAGAAAGCGGTAAAACTATAACAGTCAAGGTCTCTTTGTCACAGTTGCAAAGAGTTTCAGCTGCACTGAACCAGAAGCAGCCAGCATTGGTCAATAGAAGATGAGTTCTTCTCCTCCACGATAATTCCAGACCTCAAACGGCAAAAGTGACCAAAGAGGTGATCAAAACACTGGGCTGGGAGGTTGTGCCTCAGCCACCCTATATTCCCAGGACATCACTGCATCGGATTATTACTTGCTTTTGACCATGCATAACCACCTGCGAGAACAGCAGTTCCGAAAACCGGATGATGTCACAAAGGCTGTATCACAATTTTTAGACACCAGAAAAAAAGGACTTTTTTTCAAAAAGCGCATTTATAAGCTTGTGTCTCGTTGGGAACATGCATTTGAGGCCGATGATTTCCAAGAACAAAATGGGTGTAAGATTTTTGCGGGCCGTTTTTGATGAGTGACGAAAACGCCCCGAACTTTCTTGATTACGTGTTATATATATGCAATTTTTTACTTCCTTGTGCTAAGTAAAAGAAGTATTGTAATCATGAAAAATTCCGAGTGTCATATTTCAATTCAAATATCCATTTTGACTGCTATCTAATGCAATTTAACGATGTTTTTGGGTAACATATGTACGTAAGAACAGAATAAAGGACTCTTTTTTTTTTTTTTTTTTTTCCCAAACGGGTTATACAATTGATTTCAAATGGATTCAGAAGATTTATTCAGATTTTTCGTGACGTATTTATATATCTCGCATAACTTAAAAACGAGTACCTCAGACCGTTGAAATGTTGTATATAGGACTGCCATAACATGTAGTGTGCACCTCCTATTTTGGCTGCAATCGGCCGCACCATAACTATATATATATATATATATATATATAATATATACTATATATATGTGAGCTCAGTTTTTTTATACTTATATGTTGGTAAATTGTACATTTATTACTTTCAAAACGATTGAATTATGTTCCGGTTAAGGTTTTTAGTTTTTATGCCTTTAGTTAATATGAATGCAATAGCTGTAGAATTATAAAATTATAAACAATATAAAAATTGTTTAAGTGTGGCTAAGCTTAATTTTTTTTATCATATCACCCATATTTGTTTATATTGGAAACGGCAGAATAGTGAATTGCGTCAGTTTCTGCACTTTCAATGTCTTTTTGCGGAGTGTGACCGAAAGTAAACTTTTGTTTAATTTTGTGCATCGAAAAATCTGTCTCCTTGCCTGCTGACAAAATTGCTTGCTTTTGCGTATATAATATAATGTAAAAATTGTTTTTTAATTGTTTTAAATGTATTTGGTGTTTTATATTTTTCCATTTTTAATGAAGATGTTTTGATGTTTTATGTATTTTTGCCTTGCCGCGAATTGAGTACTGAATTAATTAAATGAGAAATTTATCTATAATGAATTTCGGGGAAATAAATTTAAATGAGATGCAGCAAAAAGAATGTGTATAATTTAATATTCCGTAGAAGGAAGTCATGTGGTGTCTGCATCAGATTTTTCTTCTTATGATTGACATTCAGTAATATAATGGCTTTTAGTATGACAGCTGGATCGAATATGAAATATCATTCTTCAAAAGCATTGTATTTTCCATGTATCATTTACAGGTTTTAAATGCTTTCTGTCTGCTAAAAAGTCTTCATATTATTTTCCTAAATTCATTTCTCAAAAATTAATATGTATGAGTAGTTTCTAAAGATTCGTACATGTTTTCCTCCTGGTGCCATGGTCTGGTCTTAAGAGCAAACGTGGTGAAAAAATACTGAATTGAAATTTTAAAACTTATTTAAATAAGCTTTAAAATTTCAGTTCAGTATTTTTTCCTGAATTAAATAGTTTCCATTTAATAGTTAATGAAAAAATAGACAATTTATTTCATAAACAAAGTAAGATGTAATATTATGATATTGTCATAAAACTGTTCTTTTTAGATGAGTGGGAAAAAATACGTAGTTTATATTATGGAAAGAGAATAAGCATAAAGAAGTAAGCGGTCTAGGTTAGAGAAAAATAAAGATTGCAAGACAGGCAATGAATGTATATTAAATTGTTGGCATTTATCTTCTGTAGCGGCGTTGGCACATTTGGGGCTTAGGAAAATAAGATTTGCTGACAAATGTTACAAACATTCATATAAACGAATTAACTGCGGTTAATGATAAACGGCAATTCATTCTATTTCTATACAACATAAGTTGTTTAATATATATGTAATAATAAAATTCCATAGTCAAGAATACACTTAATTCTAACTGTATGTTCTTTTCATTTTTTAATGACGACGGTCTCTTATTTGAAAGTACGTGGAATTAAATCCACAGCCCCGTAGTCAAGTTGTTTTTCCCGCCTTTTCTACACGTACAGTTATAGAATGTTCTGGAAATATCTAAAGCGAACTGGATTGGCTGACGTCATTTCTTGGAAGATCCGCCTTTCCAGAGGCTATAAAAGGACTCGCAAAGGAATATCGGGGTCTTTTCCTTAATCTAACGATGCACTAAACTTCATACAAAAAGTTATTAGTAGTTCTTTTTATTTACTCCGGATATCTGATTTTGTAACTGCTATTTCTCCTGACCAATAATAAATGGTTCCTGTTTTTTAAACTTATCGTCTGATAATTTAAGCTACGACTACATATAGGATTCTTCACCAATCTATTTATTCCGGACAAAAGCTGGTACATCACATATATATAAAGAGAGAGAGAGAAGGAATTTAATATAAATTTGTATTTATTACAATATATGAAATAATTCTTTCAGTAATTCATTTAAAATAATAACATAATTCAACAAAACTTATTCAATGCGTATTAATTATCATATTTAAAACAATTATGAAAACAATTAATTTAAAACAACAATATATATAAACATGCCAGAAAATTATATTCATTATTTTACTGAATGCAATTTATTAAAAAAAACATGAAATATTATAAAGTATTTTTCTCGCCTTCTTAGCATGCCTTCGTGGTGTAATGGTCAGCTCGCTCGGCGCGTATTCGAGAGGTCAGTCGTTCGAGTCCCGGCAAGGGCATTGCTCATTTTTCATCTCTCCTGCTTCGAAATAACGTAATGTCTCTACAGTGGCGCCCGAAGTAAAAGGGTGGTGGATGATGATTCTCCACATTCATTAAAATATAACTTAAGATGTAAAGAAATTAAATTTTATGTATCCAAATAAGAACCAGCCAAGATTATAAAATTCAAAACATAAAATATAATTTTAGAAACCTTAGTTATCCTCCATTTTTAAGTAAAACATATTAATATATGCTTACTTTGTAAATTCCCCTAATGCTCTAAAGCCAATAGCAGGATAGGGTGATCTATAGTCCATTTTGTATTCTGACCATCGTTCTTCTAGAATTAACCAGCATCGCCCAAGACAGATTCCAGAATACAGAGCATTTATTCCACTCAATAACAAGAAAAAAATACCCATCCAATCTGCAAAATAGTAATTTTTCTAACAAGGTTAAGGAATTCTTAAAAAATAATGAAAGATAAAAGATTCTTTCAGTTAGTACTTGCAAATGTTTCTTCCTTGCTAGTAAGAAACTTTTATTTTTAATCGCTTTAAGTTTATGTAACTCGTAGAATGTTGGTCACTGACTAATGTTTCAACATCATTGTTTGTTCCCTCATGTGAATTTCAGTTAAGTTTATAAGGTATTTCTCCCGCCTTCTTGGCATGCCTTCGTGGTGTGATGGTATGCACACTGGGCGCGTATTCCCTAGGTCCGTGGTTCGATTCCCGACAAAGGCGTTGCATATTTTTCATCTTGCCTGCTTCCAAAAATTAGCTAGTGTGTCTACAGTGGCACCCGAACTAAAAGGGTGTTGGATGATGCTTCTCCTCACCTTATTTGGCGACTGTGTCCCTTAAAAGCGTCAGTCGCCATTTAAAAGGGGGAGTATATAAGGTATTTCTCCCGGCTTCTTGGCATGCTTTCGTGGTGTGGTGGTTTACACGCTGGGAGCGTATTCCAGAGGTCCGTGGTTTGCATATTCCCGGCGAAGGCTTTGCATATTTTTCATCTTGCCTACTACCAAAAATTACCTAATGTCTCTACAAGTTCTGCGATGAAAATGACTTGCTAAGAATTGTTGAAGATTTGCTAATGTAAGCAGCAGTACTTAATAAATAGAATTAAGAGTCAGTTCTCAGAATATTCTTGATTTCAAATCTGTTGTTTTATAACCTTCATATGTATAACATAATGTTGACAGTATAATAGTCACATTTCTGATTAGCGTGGTGATCAGCCTAGAGGTTTCTCGATATGAGAAAAAGAATCACACCTAACTGAAGCCCTAGTATTCGCTCATACAAAAAAAAAAAAAAAAAAAAAAAAAAAAAATTCTGAATGTACCTGGGAGTTTAGTACTGATGTACGAGCCAATACACACATTCAAACGGAATTTGAAAAACTGGATTTGGAACAATTCCGGTGTATAGAGTTAAAAACTTCATTCACAGCTGCAAAATCAGCACTGCAAACAATTTTTTACCATTTGCGATCATCCATGCGCATATGAAACAAGATATTCACCACTTTTTCCCATTAAAAACAAACAGAAAAAAAAAAAAAAAAAGAAAAGAAAAGAAAAGAGAAAAAAAAAAAAAAAAAGACATCGTTTAAATACAAATCAAGATATACGCACGGTTCATTCAGAAAAGGATCTATAAGGATGAAATTTCATCTTCTTTTCTGCATGTTTTCATGGTGTAACGGATAGCACACTAGGCGCGTATTCGAGAGGTTCAGGGTTCGAGTTCCGGAGAGGCCATTGCTCATTTCTCCCGTCTCCCGCATCGAAATAACCTAATGACTCTACAGTGGCGTCCGAGCTAAAAAAAAGGGAGTGGTTAATAATTCTTCACCACCAGGATTTGGCGACTGGGTCCCCTAATCCCCAGTCACCCTTTAAAGGGGAAGTATATAAGGTATTTTCTTCCTCCTTTCTGCATGCCTTCGGGGTGTAACGGGTAGCACACTCGGAATGTATTCGAGAGTTTTAGGGTTCGAGTCCCGGCGAGGGCATTGCTCATTTTTACGTCTACTGCATCAAAATAACCTAATGACTCTACAGAGCTGTGTGTATATTAAAATATTACGAAAAACTAACTACAGTATAGTGATAAATAATCATATACTGTTTTCATTTATATGTATGTATTTATTTATTTATGAATTAATAAATTGTTTTGCAATAAATCTAACTTCCTAAATAAAAAATTGTGGAAAGATTCCATAAAGACACGGGAGAACTTATTTTCATATTCAGAAAGAGACCAATCACAAAAAAGGGTACTTTTTTCCGTTTTGCCGGGGCAGGCGATAAAGTCGCCAATAATGGTACAACTGGTGCCAAACGGAATATCCTCGCTGGTAACCTTTTACGCCTCATTTACAGAACAAGTCGCCGTCATTTCTTATCAGATTGATTGTCTCTTTCAATACTGGCATACAATTACATAGAATTTTTACCAGATAGTTCAATTTTATGCCCTAAGGCCATTCGCGGTAATTAAGTCAATTAGGGTGAAATCACACCGTTCACCCGAAAGCGAAAATATAGAAAAGGCAAAGTCAAGGGTTAAATTAATCCATTCTAATGAGAATGCACTAAAGAAGTAAAGCACTGCAGTTTTACATAATTTCTGAGCAAGCTATTCGTACGAATTGAAATAATTCTTGCATTTAAACTTGTATTCCAAACTAAGATTTAACTTGAAATTAATATAAATAATTACTGACAGAATTAGATTTTTGTAGCGTAGTTTACGTGGGATGAAATCACTTGGGGTCACGTGATACAAACCGTTGACTCAGTATGTTGAACCATGAAAGCATAGCAAATTCTTAAAATTACTGTCTTTATTTATTGGCTTTTTACAAAATTTTAAACGCTATTAAAATGTTTATGCTTTCAAAATAAAAAATTCTTAGAACTAACATTTGTCAACATTTTTTATGCGCATACTGTATGTTGTCGCTAATAAAGTCTGCTTGGCGAGATTTGCGCCGGTGAAACGGAAAAGTACCCCAAAAAAGATTAAGAATCACTACCTTAGAGTAACTTTAACTAAGGGAGAAAAAAAGAAAAAAAAAAACTACCGTAAGTCTTAGCAAATGTTTCCTTGGAATAGTTCAGTTTATCATAAGTTGACCATCATAAACTGAAGTTCACATGATACTAAGTTTTCACAAACTCATGATTCTCAGACTTCAGTACGGATGCAAATGGTGAATGATAGGAAGGAAAAAAAAAATCCATCTTTTGCCATCGCGTCTTTAAAAGTTTATCGAGACTGTTCCATCTCTTTCAGACTTTTTGATTCATAGCGATGGCAAATTTTTCAGATCTGAGGAAATAATATTTTCTCATTAAAAGTATTTGAAATAAGGGGTTAGGTCTTTCTGGGCAGAGCCAGGTGAACCGTAATGAAAATCGGATCGAAATCCCTTACTTATTTCCCATAGCTTTGACCTATTAATGATAGGTTCAATTTCTAGCAAAATAGGATTGTTGTTCTTAGAATCATTAGGTTAGAAATGGCACATTTCCCTGAGCATTTTCTAATATAAACTGGACTTTAAGGCTAGCTGAATCTTTTTGATCTCGTTATCTATCTATTATTAAGATGATCTCGTTATCTATCTATTATTAAGATGATCTCGTTATCTATCTATTATTAAGATGATCTCGTTATCTATCTATTATTAAGAATTAATTTATAGTGCTTTAATGTCGATTTTTCCGTTTTTAGATGAGGTTTTCCGACATATAATATTTATTTTGGTCTATTGCCATTGCTGTTTTGGTCTGTAGACTCGAGAATAGCCAAGCTAACCAAAATTACTAGCATCAAAACAATCTTCTGTACAACTTAACCACCTGGGAAAAAAATTAATGAGTAAAAAAATTGAAGACCAAAAAGGAAGATACTCATAAATTGAATCAGGCTTAAAAATATAACTGTCAACTTCCCTATAATATCTATCTTTGAAAGAAAATGATCCTTTAAAATGCAGTGATCAGAAATTTACAATGCTACTTTTAACTAACGCGTGATTGAAAAATAATTTAAATGATATATAATAAGCGACTAAAACGATGGTATGCTAAATATAGTATTTATATTATCAAGATATATATATTTCTATATATCAAGATGATACGTGGCCAGCAAAAATATAAAATGGTAATTTTATAAGCTTTTAAACTCATGAACTTACCCGATAACATGAGTGCATATGGCAAACTTACGATTCCACTGCCAGTAACAGAGCTGACTATGAATACCGCTGCCATATTTTGTGTAAATCCGATTTCTTCTCTCTCATTGTGTATACGAATGTCATCCGTATCCTCTTCAGAAGATTCTCCTCCGTCGATTTCAGATGGCAGAAAATCAAAAACTAATTCTTTCTCTAGTGCTATTGCACTCTTTGAGTCAAATTTCTTTGAATTTGTTTTGCGTACAAACTTCTCCTTCATGTCTCTCAAAATTTCTTTATCTTCTTCAGTCGCTGTTTCATCTTCTGTCCTATTCTTCTCATCGGTTTCTTCTGATCGAATTTCGTCACTTGTTTTGTTACCCGCTTTCTCCTCATTTACATCATTCTTCTGATTTATAATATTCTTTTTCTTGTCTTCATTGGATGTAGTCTCCTTTTTGCCATCTTTTGCCACCATTTTAAAAGTATTTTGTGTTTCATACGTTGCAAAGCCCACCGTCTCAATCTGCGAAATACAATAATGTAATATTTATCTTACAAGTGCAAACTAAGGTTTTGATAAACAGAGAACAGAGATATCGAAGCTCGATTGAACTGAATTCAAGTACTTGAAATGCTGTGATAATGGGATATAATGGTTGCTGAACAGTGTCGATCGTAATTATTAGTTCACCTTTCATGGTGAGACTGATAGAAATCGTTTTATTCCAATCACTTTAATTTAATTTTAGCACACAGACCCATGTGTTTAGACCAGCGTTTCTCAACCTTTTGACTAACGCGTACCATCTGAACAAAAATTAAAAACCTTTAGTACCACCACTACAAAAGTACTGCTACCACCACCACTCTTGAACAAAGCTCAGATAGCATAAATTTACGAGTATTAGAGAAAAAACTCAATCAAGATTTTTGAATTTAATAGTTAAAAATACTTTGCTTCTTTGCATACCACATTTTCTCTTGCGTACCAACAGTGGTAAGCGTACCATTGGTTGAGAACCTCTGGTCTAGACTTTTAAGTTCATCTCCCACCCTCCTGAAGTTGCATTTATCATGACTTCGAAACTTAAGGGAATTCTAAAACTAGTTCCGCTCTGCTCTCCATCTCTCAATTATACTTAACAAACATGCTGTCAGGTATTCTAATCTCACACATTCGATGTCGTTCCGATGTCGCTGATTTTCCGTAATATCTTCCATAGTCATTTTACTCTAGGCTTTTCTGAAGACATTAGCATATTTTCAAGCGTATCGATATTGTGCTTTCTTCAGGGTAATACCTTTCTACAAATGCTTCAGTATTATTAAAACATGAACCCAACTGTCCATTTGCTAACCGACTTCACTTAAGACTACTATTTTGAAATCAATCGGGATACTTCTTATATAAAGATAAAATAGTCTATGAGTTACAGTGAACGAAAATTTAATTCGTATTTAGCGTCAGACAGTTAGGGAAGGAAATCATTCAATACAGTTTTGACTGGATTCCAGAGTATTATATAAGAAAATTTAGTTTTAATACTCTATTATCTATTTTTAATCCCTTTTGCATTCACTTTTTGGTCATTAAAACCTACTAAAAATGTGAATTTAAATCCAAATCTTACTACTGCAAGAGTAAGCCTCAGTTTTATTAGTTATCCAATATATACAGAATTTTTAAAAAAATTAATATCATAAACATGCTTACCAGAGCAACTAACATATACACATTCTGCATTTTGTCAATAATTTTTATACTAATAAAAATATTTTAATAAATTTTAATAAGAATATGTTCATTGCATAAGAAATGAAAAGTGTCTTAACAAGAATATGTTGATTGCACAAAAAATGAAATGAAAATTGCTCGCACTTGTTGGAAAATAAAATCGATAAAGTTATGTCGACAGCAAGTTGTGGAAATAACTGGAAGCAAATATCCGCAGGTAAAGCCATTATTGGAATAAAACTTGAAGCCAAAAGAAAAAAACTGAAAATAGTGGTATGTCGTCATTGATTTTTTTTTTTTTTTTTTTTTTTTTTTTTTTTTCCCAGGAAGCAATCTTTGTTACACTGATTCTCGGACAAGATGTGGTATCTTCTGTCTGGTTACATTAATTCTAAAAAATGCAGAATTTGTGGAAATGAAAATATCAACACGATGTATGAAGAGCTCTTCCTTCTAAGAAGAGTGATGTTGGTAAGGGATGTCCTGATAGTGCACAGGGCCGACGTCAGAACCGGTGAGATCGCACTGAATGACGGATAATTGACGCACGAAATGAGAGGATTCAGGAGAGGTAGAAAAAGCATCGAATGGCAGAAAGCCTATCTCCAGCCCTTGCCGTGTATAACTACTCACGTCTTCTGCAATACAACTACAACAAGTGCATATCTGGTAATCTACAACCTCCTTTTAAAGTACTTTGGCAACCGAGAACTTTTCATTGAATATTTCCTATAATATGTAGAAGTAGTACATAGTCCAAATAGTATGCGGAACATTTCCAGAGGATATACGACACTTTATATGTCAGTGCAACCGAAACTCAACTCTTTATCGACGATTAAATCAACCTTTTATCGGCATTTGAAGAAGATACTCACCTGGCTTTGCACCTTTTGATTATTTTGATGAAGACATCTGAAACTGACAGATTGTACCAACATTAAGGAGCCACAGACACCTTGAAAGCATGGATCATCGAAACAATCGAGACAGCGACAGTAGGCGTAAAGGCAATTTAATATTGTCTGGACGCAAATGTTGGCCACTTCCAGCACAAGATATGAAATTATCACATTTCCAACAAAATTATCTAAAACCTTTTTTAATTTCATAAATTTATATTGATTAGGGTAAAAGTTTACAATTGGGTGCCCCTTATTTTTTGGCGATTCTTTTTTGACGCCAAGATCGGCGCCAGGAAGGCACAATTTTAAGATGGCCGCAACACAAAACCAAAATAAGAAGTCAAAGAACTGCACAAACTCGGTGTTCATGTACACATCGATCTATTTTCACTTAAAAAAATCTGAGAATTGAACAATCTCGGCATTTCGCACTGCCTTGACTTTGTCCTTGTATATTACATCGATCTATTTTCACTTAAAAAAAGATCAGGAAGCTGAAACCAAGTTAAAACTATCATGGTAACCAGAAATGGGATTTCATCACCAAAACTGAACAAAATTTGTCGCCAATCGAAGGGGCACCCAATTCTGCACTACAGCCTTGATTAGTACAAAAATATTCGAAGAAATGTCGGGTTCAGCAACAAATGCGACATCCTGTATTAATAAGTAACGCAATATACATCGATACATTAGAATAAAATTTATCTTTCCGTTTCTACGAGAGATACATTTTAAATAAAAATTCATTTTATCACCGATAAAAAATGTAACAATAAAATGAATAAATAAAACAAAAAACACTGTAATCGTTTTACGTACTGAAGGTAAGTAGAAAATGAAAAGAACTACAAGATAACATCCAAAAAATTAAGTTTTCGCTTGAATGAAATTTCGCTTTTTGAATGAAAAATCTTTAAATATTAGAAAACAAATATCTATCAAATATATTTTTCGATTTTTCATATATTTTCAATCTATTATGTGAAACATATATTAAGTATTTATATTTTATTATGTGGAAAATAATATTAGGAATCTGGGATTATGTAATAAATGAATACAGGTGATATAAAAATGCATTTTCAAAATGACTCATAAATCTATATAAAATATTTTCAGTGAATAAATTTAAACCAAGATTCTAGTGATATTATACTTATTACATTATTTCAAGTAGCAAACAGTATTTTAAAGTTACTTACGCATTTTAAATAGTATTTAAGATTTATTCAAAAAATAAAACACATTTATGTAAAAAAATAATATTTACATTAAAATTACATGTTTAGAAAGTAAATTTTATTTATTTTTCTAACAAGTATTACATTGCACAAAATAAGCTAAAAAAACAAAATACTTTTACATTGCTTAAAAACCTATTCCGTTTCGAAACATAATTTAAACATAATTTGGTAACTTACATTCAAACCAAGCTCGTATCACATGGTAACTTTTTTGTTCAAATGAATTGCCAACATGTTCATAACGTAAAAGTTAATGACAATATAATCATTTCACTCATAAATATTCTCTGGTCGGAATTCAAGAGAATGGAGGCGTTTCTCGCAACATGGTCAAATTAATTTATTCCTGGAATGCATCTCAAAATGCTGTAATATCATTAAAAATTGGGAAGTTTTCATAAAAACACTTTTGCTTTTTTATTGTTTCACAATTCATGAGAAAGAATTCTAATACTTTTAACTGCCTCGCATCTGAATAAGGTTTTTTTTTTTTTTTTTTTTTTTTTTTTTTTTTTTTTTTTTAAATTTTGGCTGCGTTGAATACTTTGTTTTGAGAGTAAAAGCTCCAGTATTTGAATCAAAATGAAAAATCACAGGACCTACGATCTTTAATTTGTATACAAATGACTTGCTCAAACAAATCAGTATTATCTTAACAAAATATACAGATGGCATTCAGTTATTCTAGATATAAGCATTTCTCAATCCGCAAAGTTAATTCTTTTTTCGAACTTTAAAATGGATTCAAAATGAACATCTCAGTTTCAAAAACCAGAATTAACTATCCATACGATTCATTCAATCGCCGTAACAAATACTGATCTTCAGAGTCAATTTCTTATTCTGCGTAATTTAAAAAAAAAAATCCCCCAAAATTTATCTATTCCCTATACCTTCGTTACTGCTGTTTCTTTCAAATGGTCGGATATTTGGAATTTAACGCAATCGTCAGAAAATAGCCAACACATATAGGTTATTTAGCCGCCTTGCAAAGCGGAGCTAAATTGCACAAGCCCTACAAAATCAGGAATGGAGCACTACTAAAAACGGAGAAGCTCCATCCCAGGTTTGATGAAAAACAACCAGAGGACTAATCCAAAGGTCTACTCTTTTCCACAACCACCAAATCACTCGAGAGGACTTCCAGTTCGCCATGTATTTTTAAGTACTCGAAACCACACAGACCCTGCCTAATTATAAATATTATATATTTATATCCCCAGAATATAATCCCCAGAATTCGAACCTGATCCCAGAGATACGGTTGTGAGCAGCATTAAAAAGTTTTAAAATTTATGTATTTTTAGAAATTTATCAGAATAATCAGGGTCATTTCTATCAAATTCTAATGTAGGACATTTATTACATTTATTTTTGCCGTTGAACTTCAAGCTGTGCAAACAAACTGTAATCGTAACTAATCATCGTGTGTCTTGTTGGAAAAGACCCTGTAAATTATTTGTGATGTTAATTCATTAGGTGCGTTTATTTTCTTCATGAGGAAATTTGAAGTTTCAGACAATAACGTTCAAATATTATATTTCAGCTTCAATAAATATGCTTTATAAAGTCTTATTCAGTTTTTATCAACAGTTTTTTTATTTCTT